CGTGCTAATAACGCGAAGGTCGCAGGTTCGAGACCTGCATGGGCCACTTTTTTTTTCCGATCGTAATCTTTTTTTGCAAATTACTGCCTACATGTCCTTTTTTTGCAAATACCACCCGCATGTTCTCACAGCTTTTTTTTCCTCCAAGTTTTCCACAACCAAATATTTATAGAATTTCAGGCCTCATGTGTTACTTACAACGTTCCGCATAACAAAGTTGCATAAAATTGCAAAACCTCACTCCCATCTGCAGGTAGTTTTAAGCAATGCTTCCTGTGCCGGATATTTTCAAATATCAAATAATATTCGTGTAATCTACCGATATGGGTCAACTCAGACAACACTAAGTTTATATTTACAGATGATTGAAAGAAACAATGATCTGATACCCGTAGGTATAGAGCTATGCGTCAGCTCGAGGAATGTTAATATCGGCCAAATATGGCGAGAACCTTCGAGCTCTGGCTAAAGCAATACCCAGTAGAGAAGATGGCGCTATCCAATAAGCTGAAACCAATAAGAGCGTAAGAACAGTCTATTCATTTTTTGACAGCAAGTATAGCTTGTGATCCTCGACGTAATCAATAACTTCATCAGGGATGAGATATTTCACGATCTCCTACCTCACTCTCGTCGAACTAATTTGATTCGGGACTCTTTCGTCTACTGGAATGATGTTATTCTAAATAAAGATAAAAACAAGTCACTTTCAAAATCCTTAGCAATTGAAGTATGAAAATATGATTTACATTTTGTCACTGATTACTGCTGGACATGAACTTTGTGGGAAATACAAAGTTGAAAGTATATGACCTTATTCTCAGATAGTATTTCATCATCGAATATGATTTTCTCAATATCCTTCCCTTCCCTGCGGATACAAACAATACCAAAGTCTCTACATATGCTCCTGACCTGGAAAATAACAATAAAGACTAAATATCATGATCCAGTAGCCGATTTCGACTTAATCAGGAGTTTACTTCTATTTCCAGCACTCCTAGTTTGATAAACAGATGGTTTCTTCAATGAACATTTTTTACTACTTAAGGCTTACGACAATAAGAAAAAAAGGACAAATTTTCAAAAACGACCTCTTTCCACATTTAATCCCAAAGATAGACCCTTTCCGCAATAGAGTTTAACTCCCGTAAAGTTTCGGATGTTTTTTCACAAAAACCGACCTAGTTTCAGAGGCCAAGGCTAAAACCAGGTTGGTTTTTGAAAATATTGTGGAAAGTGGTCTGTTTTTTGGATTAAATGTCCATATGAGATGGTTTTGAAAATTTGTCCTAAGAAAAAAAAGGTAATGCATCAAAATATTACTTTTAGTAAAATGTTCAAGGATTATTTGTTATTTATATCTAGGAAGCACCTAAGACAAAACAATAATCAAATAGTTCTAAATATTTATTCCACATATTGGGTAACCTTTAGAATAAATTTTCTTTTAATCTTTGATGCTAATTCCTCGAGGAAAACGGCATTAGGAAAAAAAATTTTCCGAATGTAAACTGAAAAAACTACTAGAACAGAAGAGGATCCACGCAAAGGTTTTAACTGTAGACTACATCAAACCAAAAAAAAACAGCAACAAGTTTGACTCCAAAGACATAATTTTTTTGAGATGACTTAATTTGCTAAACTCATTCACTGAATTTCCAAACACCCCGTTGATTCATTCGCCCTCGAATACATCTCAAATCCTAATTTTGAAATTTCATTGAAGAGATTCCAGCCGCCGATCAAAATGGTCGCCAGTTAACCGTGGATGCGCAATTCCCTTCTCGTGAAAGTATTAGTAAATGCCCCCTCAAAATCACAGACAAAACTCTTACAAAAAAAATGAACTTCGATCAAAGTTTGTGATCAGAGTTTTCACCTGTTGAGGGCGTTAGAGGATTCAGCTCCTTCAGTTGGAGGAACAGCGAGCTTGTCCAATGGTAAAGGAACATCCACATCCATATCTACTGAACTAAGGACAAATTTTCAGAACTGATCCATTTGGGTTTTTAATTGCAAAAAACGACCGGTTTTAAAAATATTTACAAAAACCGATCTGTTTTCAGCCAGGGGTTGAAAATAGGTCGTTTTTTTAAAAATTTTTTGGGAAACTTCACGGGAGTTCATCACGGGAGTTGAACTCCCGTGAAGTTTTTTCTCATAACAAAAATTTACGGGAGTTGAACTCCCGTGAAGTTTGGGAAAAAAATTTCAAAAACCGACCCAGTTTTAACCAACTGGGTCGGTTTTTATAATTAAAATTAAAATGGGTCGTTTTTTGCAATTAAAAATCCAAATGGGTCGGTTTTGAAAATTTGTCCACTGAACTAATTTAATAATTTTTAAAAAAATATATAGCATCCAATTATTTTGCTATATTTTCATAGTAGGTGAAAAAGATCAGAACTTTTGACGGCCAATGGATGAATTGAGTTGATCTAGGCCGTGGATTATTCATCCAAAGATCACAACTTTTTCTTAGGAAATAAAAAGGGGAAATAGTTTAGAAGATGCATTAATAAACTAAACGTTTTTATAAAAAAACTAAAACAAAATTTAGAAAGTAAGCTCCCGGCGAGGATCGAACTCGCGACCTTTCGCTTACGAAGCGAACGCACTACCACTATGCTACGGAAGCGGGCGCTACGTGGTTTAAAAAAGCGTCTTATTAAACTGTTTATTAGTGTGCTGAAGAGAACTCAAAAAGCAAGCTATTAGACGTAGGTAACTCAGAGGGCTTAGAGCATCTCCAACGGCTTCCCCATTTTATTGGTATTCTCATTTTTGAAGAATTTTAGGCTTTTTTTGGTCCAACAGATTCTCCATCTCATTCCCCAAAATAGCGATGGAGGAGAAAAAAATGGGAGTCTTCCCCAAATCTGGGGTATTCTTCAAATTTTTAGGGAGAGCTTTGTCATAAATATAGCACGTTCTTCAAAACATGATTGAGGAGAAAATAAATACAAAACAAAATCCGTAATTATAAAAAAACCATGGGGATAGTTCCAATGCATAAAAGCATCCCAAAATAGAGATGTAGAATATTTTTATTATTGTAATAAATACAGGATTTTTCAAAATGGATAAGCTGTTGGAGTTGGAACAAAAATAATTTGGAGAATATGACTTTTGCTTCCCTATTTTGAAGAAATTTTTGGGAAAGCTATTGGAGATGCTCTTAGATCCACCTCATCTCTCCATTAGTTAGCGTAGGATTAAATGGATCCTAACATACCATCACGCTTTCGCGGGCCTTCGTGCCTGCATGAGCTACCTTTCTACTTGTCTTGATTAAGCACCGCACTCTCGGTGCCACTCCTCCTGCTTTGCGCTATACTAGTCCAGAGATGAACGCTGTAATAATCCTAGTGCTGCTCGCTAGCAACAGGATGGTGGGATTGGCTCTGATACCATTTGTGACAGCCTCGTCTTCTTGGATATCAACAAGCGACATAGTAAATGACGGCGTTTTTGCAAGGGACTAGTCTAGTGCAAAGCTAAACGGGGGGTGAAGTAAGAATTAGGCTAGTTACAATGGGCTAGTTGAATTATGAATTAAATAGTTGAATGAGTGTAATGGGGGTGTTGAAAATGAGGTGGATTAAATAGAGTTGAAAGAATTCAACATGTTGAAATATGAGGGAGTGGGACCCGCGCTGGACACATGGTGGGCTCTGGAAGAGAGAGAAGATGAATTATTAGGTGGTGGGGTAGGGTGTTGAATTTTATTAAACAAAACCATTGTAGAGTGTAAAAGTTGAGTGGATGTTGAATTATTAGGTGGAAGAGAGAGAAGATGATGTGGAGTGTTAAAAAGTAAAAAGTAGGGTGTTGAAAAACAAAACCATTGTTGATAGTCTTACAGTGTCACGAGGACTGTACTAGTACGAAACCGGTCCGTGCAGGAGCCCAGGGCACACGGTGGTCCGTACAGAAGGTTATATTTAAAACTTAAGAAGGTTTTTGTACAGAACCTCTAGGCTAGTTACAATGGGGTAGTTGAATGATGAATTAAATAGTTGAATGGGTGTAATGGGGGTGTTGAATGGGGTGTTGAAAATGAGGTGGATTAATTAGAGTTGAAAGAATTCAACATGTTGAAAGAGGAGGGAGTGGGACCCGCGCTGGACACGTGGCGGGCTCTGGAAGAGAGAGAAGATGAATTATTAGGTGGTGGGGTAGGGTGTTGAATTTTATTAAACAAAACCATTGTAGAGTGTAAAAGTTGAGTGGATGTTGAATTATTAGGTGGAAGAGAGAGAAGATGATGTGGAGTGTTAAAAAGTAAAAAGTAGGGTGTTGAAAAACAAAACCATTGTTGATAGTCTTACAGTGTCACGAGGACTGTACTAGTACGAAACCGGTCCGTGCAGGAGCCCAGGGCACACGGTGGTCCGTACAGAAGGTTATATTTAAAACTTAAGAAGGTTTTTGTACAGAACCTCTCAAAATTGAGGGGGTCTTGTGAAATTAATCCAGAAAGTGGGAAAGACCCCCAAATTTCCAATAAACCCTAATATCTGCTGTAACTCTCTCCCTCTTTTCGTTCCCTCCAAAAACCCTAGCGTCATTCGTCAGCCCGCGGATCTGACCGCAGCGGAGTGGAAACCCTAGTTTTCATCCGCCATGATTTGCTCCAGTAAGCTTCTTCTCTGTACAAACCCTAACTCCCTCTCTCTCTCTAGAAACCCTAATTCTTATTTTGATATCCGTGCAGTCTCCGGCGAAGTGCCGGAAGAGCCAGTGCTCTCGAAGAAGTCGGGGCTTCTGTTCGAACGGCGGCTGATCGAGCGGCACATCGCTGTAAGATTTGATTATCTAAACAAAGATTAGGGCTTTAAAGTTGGTGCAAAACCCTAGCTTTCTAATTTTTAAGTTGTTGTTTCTGGTTTTTGTGATAGGATTATGGGAAATGTCCTGTCACGAAGGAGGATCTCACGATGGAAGATATCTTGCCGGTGAAGACCAACAAGGTGCCTTCTTTTTTTGACCAAAGACCATGAATAGCCATGTTGCAAGATAACTGGGTTCAAACAAGAAATTTATTTTTTTGGGGAAAGAAACACCTCTTTCTGTGTTGAGACATCACAACTGGTTTATGATTCGAGAATAAAATTATGTTGCTTTGTATTAATTTAGTAGCTAGCTAGTTGTGCAATGTTTGAAGTTCTGAAGGGCTTTGCAAGTTTGCTTTTCGAAAATGGGACGCTTTCGAAGTATTTCATATCACTTGCTAAAGCTCAGGGTTGTCTCTCAGATATAGATTATTTTGTATTTTATTTATTAGGGGACACATAGATTCTTCTATGCCTTCTATGCCACTATCATATCCACTATTTTCTGTGGGTATATGTGTCTGCACGTGTGCATTTTCAGTTCGGCACTCTTTTGTTACAGTCTTGGTGGTTTGTCACCTTCATATTCTTTTGCTAGAATGGTTATGCCAGAATATAACTACCAGCAGTTGCAGAGCCCGGATTTTTTTTCCCGGCGCGGCCAAAACACAACCATTATACTTTACATCAACAAAAAGCGATTAAATATGTGATTTTCAGATATAAAAGTAGGTGAAAAAAGAACCTAGAATAGAATTTTTTTAAAGCATTAAATTATATCAATTATTGGTTTTTCAGTAATCACAAATTACAAATTATAATCTTTTGGAAAACTTGATAGATTGATAATACACTATAAATTATATCATTAAATTTATTTGAAACGATAATATGAAGATATGGAGCAATTTTAACTATATCGTATAAAATACTTCTAGAAGTTATGTGAATATAAATAAACTTATTGCCAATAACAATCCAATTATTAAAGTCCTCATCGAAATACATATAATATAGGGTAAATTGCTTGTTTAGTTTAAGTATATTGTTTGTGTAATTACATTTAATTGTATAATAGAGGATAAATTGCTCATAACTCCGTTCATTTATACTTTTACTTGCGCTAAACCCCCCTCAACTTATTTACTAGCACTTGGGACTTATTTTAGTGCTGTAAGTTGCAAGTAACATCTCTTTTCCTTGTGGATTGATGGGCTACCTACTAGTAAGCTAGTTGAGGGGTAGTGCAACAAAAGGTGTGGTGTGCAATTTACTGTTTACCCTATATTATGTAAATGTTATACACATTTTAGTGCCTACAAGCTTAATAGCTATATATATATATTTATGTATAACCTACAATATATTATATTAGCTACCAATATATTATACATAATATAGTACCTGCAACACTTATAGCTAATATATTATATGTAATATAGTGGCTATCTATAGTCTACTGCCCTGTATTACATATGACATAGTAGACATAGTAGCCACATATAACATTTGACAAGGAGCTAAGGGGGCCATGCCACCCCCTGCCTCCCTCTATCTCTGCCAGTGACTACCAGATCTATACCAAACTCTACCCTGCGACATGCTTTATATGTTTGAAGGGTTGTGAAGAGAAGATTCCCAACTATCAACTAGGATAACATAAAATATTGGCTATTATCTGGCTTATTTACGTGACAAAGCTCAATGAAGGGGCTAGTCTATGGCTTTACTTTTCAAAGTGCATATAGTATAGTAGAGGCTAACAGCTTAACATGTTATTTTGAGCTTCATTTTGTCATAATTGCTTGACCATGATAATACCAAAAATTTACATGCATAATTGAAGATTTGACTAGTCCTACCCATTGTTTAAAACCTCTAAACTAAAGGGAAACATTCAAAAGTTCCCGCAATGAATCTCTCAACGCACCTACTAATACTGCCACGACCCCAATTTTCGAACCTAGAAGAAAATATTGTAGCCGGACTAAACATGTTAAAATATTTCTCCAAAAATATACATTTATTAAATAATCACCAAAATAATCTCATCCAAATTTTTTTAATCCAAAAATTAATATTAATCCAATTAACTTGAGGAAAACGAATATTCCTCAACTTGAAATAAAACTCAACCCAAAGGGAAGAATCCTATTATTACAAAACCTCCAAAACAACTAAACATCAAAGACTTATTTAACCTACACTTAGAAGAAATTAGCAATCTGAATCTTTATTCCATGCTCTCTTCTAAGAATCTAGAAACCACCAACTCCATCTAATCTTGTGTCTCTGAAAAGAATGAATACAACACAATGAGTTCACAACTCAATAAGTGGATAAATTTATACATTAAACACTGGTTTTGCAAAAATTAAAATATTTTAACAAATGAAAAGGAAAATGTTAAAATAATAAAAAATCATCAATGAACTCTAATACTTGATGCAAATATTTGAAAAGTTAAAAATTTTGCAATGGAAAATAAGCTGGCTACGTCTCAATGCGCTCAACATTTAATACCACGTTGACACGGTATCCCCACTTTTATTAGTCCCATGGTACTAGGATATAAAGACCCAAAGATTGGGTTTAGCATTAAAATAACCTCATAGAGGTACATTGAGCCCTGTTTAGATAGCTTACTTATCCCAGACATATACCGGTATATTGACTTGAGATGCATATGCTTAAAAAAATGAACAAAGTTCATATAGCCAAATATTTTATAAAGAATCGTGAAAAGCCAACCAATAATGAAATCAATTACATATGTATCTCAACTTACTACTATATGAAAAGATATTATTCTCAACAAGAAATAAGCATATGCTTATACCAAATATCCGTGTGCATCACATCCAAATCAACAAAAAGATATCCAAATCAACAAAAAGATATGCGAGTAAGTCACACAAAAGGATATAATCTATCGGGAACAAATCTATACATACTGTCATTTTATAGGAAAAATACGCGATGCACACTGCATAAATTCAACACTTAAAAAAACCCGAAAGACAATCCAAATACCACTCACGATGCCTCATCGAAGTCACTTGGAACCCCTAGAAAAAACATACAAACAATAATAAATGATGTTGTATATCCTATTAAGAACTTTGGTCTGTAATATTAGGCTAAGAAACAATTGATTTTCATGACAAAAACAATGAAAGGAAACAATAGCAAGGTGTTGCATGCTATCAAGAACTTTACCATCGCCATGATAACAAAGCCTTAGCTATGGAAACACATGGCCGACCACAAAATAAAAACAAGTAAATTGATTGAACATAAATTCAAATCAAACCCTAATACATTCATATATTATTCTTTCACCAATTGTTATACCTTCATTCTTGTGTAAACAATCATTACCTACTGTTCTTCAATGCATGGATCCGATAATTTTTTTTTCTTTTGCCGTCTATCATTTTCTTTTCGTTTTGTTTCTTTTTGCGGCTTCTCAAAAGTTAGCGGCTAGGGTTTTCCTCTGTTTATTAGTTTTCCATTCATACCAATAAACTTAACAATTTTTCATTTGCAATATGCCCCTCAATGTACATAATATGTTAGTATATATAGTTAGTATTTCCTTTTGCATAAAGGTCCTCTCTAGTTTGATGTTTATATTATAGACCTATATCTGTAGAAATATGTGGGTTATTACAAATACAACTCTAATGCCTTCAATTTTACACCAGCCATGAATTACAGGACAGATCATAGAGAGGGAGAGAGAGAGAGAGGGAGGGAGGGAGGGAGGGTGGGTGGTGTGGTGGGTGGAGTGGCATAGTAGTCAGAAATGGAAGGAGCGCGTTATTGAGCTGACCCCTTTTCAAAGGCAGAAGGTTATTGCAAATATACCTTCCTGCATTATTGCTTGCTACTTTCCCAGCTCTAGACCTGGGGTTCAGATGAAGTCATATCAGAGGTTTAAGAAGAAATTGCACCTATGGAAGTTCTTTTTCTTTTCCTCTCTCTCTCTCTCTCTCTCTCTCCTCTATATATATATATATATATATATAATATATTTATTAATATATATATATATTATATCATTCAGCGGTGAACCGATAAGTGTCAAACACTATGATTCCTTGCAAACACTATGTCTTAGTCTAGGCCGAGATTGTTAAAAAGCACATTATTCAAAGTTGATACCGATATCGTGTTTTGATGGTTTAGCTTGTCGAAGGCTTTAATGGTGCGGTGTAATTTCTTTGGAGGGTGGATCTTAAATTATTATCAATTATCATAGTTAAAAGAAACAAGTGAAAAACATTGGCTGGAAATGTACAATATTAATGGAAATGACCATACTGTTTGTTTGCATTTACGGATTATGATTCTTTCTTTGAAAAGGTTCATAGCATTTTTAATTTTATGTTTATTATATCATAGGATTTGTTTGGCTACTCAATAAATTTGATAATAAATTTGATTTTGTGCCGGCTGAAGCTGAGATATACAATACGTCAGAACATATTGTGGACTGGACTGTCATATTTCTTTTTTGCCATTGACTGTTCTTGTTTGGTCATTCTGTTCACATCAACTTATTAATTACTATGATTTCTTCTTGTGCAGGTAGTCAAGCCTAGACCCTTGCAGGCTGCAAGTATTCCTGGTTTGCTTGGAATGTTTCAGAATGTAAGTATATTATTCTCATTGGTTTTGTCCCATGAAAATGTTCCTGTGATCTTTTTAATTCTAAGAATTCTATATGGTTTGTCGAAGAAGATAGTCAACTAGGAAGTATGTTATGCATCTAAATTCTGTTGGAAAGAGTCTGGGAATCTATTAATTTTGGTCAGAAGAGCGTTCTTAAACATGTATTATGTGAACTTACATGAGAAATTACTTGAATGGGAGTACTCAGTGAGTTGATTAATTTACTTAGCGTATTCATGTATTTTGATCTTATGATAGTTTCTGACTATATCTGGGGAATGATTCTTAATGAAGCTGAATGTTAGTAATCATTGATATTCTTTTTCTGAGATCTGAGGTTATCTTGCCTTTTCTTTGCTTTTGATTGACAGGAGTGGGATGCTTTGATGCTATCCAATTTTGCATTGGAGCAACAATTGCATACAGCAAGGCAGGAGCTCAGTCATGCATTGTATCAGGTATAGTGTTATTTTACATATTGTTGTTTTGCTTCTCTGACCTCAAAATTAATTGTATACACATGCCTGCAAATTTAAATGAGAACACCTCTATTTAACAAAAATGACCAGGCATGTAGACCTTCTAGGTTCATATCGGTTCTATACTTACAATTAGGGGTGTAAACGAACCAAACATTAAAGAATAGTTTGTTAATTATTTGTCTAAATATTCATTTATATTCCTTGGCTGTTCATTTAACACTTAACAGAAAATGAATAATTGGTAGTATTATGTTCATAATTTAAAACAATTTAAGCAGATGTGCATTCAGTTTACTTGATTATCAAATGTTCGTAATCACTTGTAACTTGTATTATTACATAAATGGTGTTTTTCTTTTTACGCACTTATATCTTTATCTTGAGTTCTATATGACAATTGAGAGACTCAAAAGGGTTCCAGAGTGAATTTTCTAATTAGATATTCAAATTACAAATTTATGCACCAGAATTGTAAAAGAATAAATATTATGAATTTAAATGCTATTTAAAACATCAAATTCTTTAGAAGTACGGAATTATTTGTTTAACCAAATAGACGTATCTTTTTAATTAAATAGTTTAATATTCATAAAGTGTAATAACCAATCAAATAAATATACTTTAATATTTGATAAATATTTGTGCTTGCATTCGGATTTGAAGAAATTCAGATAAGGATACTCAAATTTGGGTTGAAAGATTTTAAACAAATCAGATATGAAAACCTTACTGTTTGGTTCGGTTAGTTTTCTTATATGCAAGGTGGTCTGTCACTAAAAGGCTCCACAATGCCTATGATTCGTGCAAGAAATTCCAAACAAATACCCAGTGCACGTGGGACCAATGTGTCCAGCACTAGAGGGCTTCGTGATTGAAGCATCTCTCCTACTTGGCTGTTTTATGTCATGATAGAAGTAGGTATGCTACAGAGCTAGCTTATTTTGATCTGTGGTTGGAAAGCTGATTGAGTAATAGACTATTTTTACTTTTTTAGAGCCATAGTTGGCACTGGAATCTTCATGGTATTTGATCTTTTTGATGGATAACTACAGTGGACTTGTTCTAGGATTTTTTGTTGGGCTATTATCATGTGGTACTCGGTCATTAATATTCATTCTTGCAGTGGTAGTTAGAGGATTTGGGGCATGACTTAGCTTTAAATTGGTGTCTCTTTCTTGAGGTACTGGTATCTATGTATCTTAGGTTATTATCACCCATCTTAGTTCTTAGTAGATGCTATCATCATTTACATTGTTTGTTTTGAAAGGATTTCAGATTGTTTACTGAAAAGTATTTCTTTTGGTTTGTCAGCATGATGCGGCATGTCGTGTTATAGCCAGATTGAAAAAGGAAAGGGATGAGGCGAGAACACTATTGGCACAGGCTGAGAGACAAATTCCTCTATCAACAGCTTCTGCGAATGCAAATGCTGTTGTTAGCAATGGAAAAAGAGGTTTCTATACTTAAAAATATTTTTCCTGCAAGATAAGTGGTCTCTTTGTCTAAATAACTTTAGCAATTATTATTGCAGCTGCAGAGGATGAGCTTGGCCCTGACGGAAAGAAAATTCGTCCTGGTATTAATCCAGCAATCATTGCTGAACTTACAGACTGTAATTCTTTACTCTCAGGACAGAGGAAAAAGCGGCAGGTCTATACTCTCTTTCTCAAGTATTTTACAGCTTGTGCAGTTGTTCTTTTATTCTGAATGATTCAGTTTTTCCTAGCGGTTAGATGCTTGGATGTCATATTTCATTCAAAAGAGAAAATAAGCATGTTAAATAGGCTATAGAAAAGGTTAGATGCTTGGATGTCATATTTCATTCAAAAGAGAAAATAAGCATGTTAAATAGGCTATAGAAAAGAGATCAGAGTTCATTCATCTTATTTCATTCAAAAGAGAAAATAAGCATGTTAAATAGGCTATAGAAAAGAGATCAGAGTTCATTCATCTTTGCACTTTAAAACAATATAGGAAAGATAATATATGATGAAAGTCCTTATAATTTTTCTTAATCTTGATATACTATCTGGGCTTTTAGATGTTTAATGTTTCTGGTCTATTTTGCAGATTCCGCCAACATTGGCATCCATTGATGCATTGGAAAGATACACCCAGATATCTAGTCATCCTCTCCATAAGACTAACAAGCCAGGCATTTTGTCTACAGACATCCATCCCTCCAAGGTACAGATATTGCTTATGCACTTTCTTCCCTATATTTGGATTATTGGTGTGTTTGGTTGAGTTTGACTGGATTCTTGGCCTCGTCTGGAACCCCAGGTTTATTTTCTGATAACAAAACTAAGCGCTGGATTGCCAAACTTTACTTTTATCTTAATTGGGTCAACATTTGCACCTCCATTCCATTCCTTGGGTCCTGCAGCTGATTCATTCCATTATAAAGAATAGTGTAGTTTGCTTTTTAAGTTTCCAGAGTACTAGACTATCATTTAGATGGCACATATATCCATGTGTAGAGTTGATCAGTCCTGATGAGGTTGAGGGTCCACTAAGAAATTTGCTTTGACCACTTAGTCACTTCCGTCTGGCCAACATTGGACCTGTTCAATAAACAGGTCAAGCACCTGACCTGGCTAAGTTAGGATGACTTAACCTGTTTAATTAGATAGTGGGAAAAAGCTGTTTAGCAATCAGGTCATAACTGGATCAAAGACTCAGATCTATACCCGGTCTGTTTATTAGACATTTCTATTGGGTCAACGCTCAACGTGATTGTGACCCTAATTATGCCCTATACGAACCTTGCTATTTTTTGAGTTGGGTCAAAGCTGGACCCTATCCTTGTTTGGCTTGCAGGTCTAGTGTTTGTGCATCTGACATGATTGAAACAAGTACATGTGCACAGTATGGTTGATGTATTTGTTATATACATATGATGTTTAATGTGTGTGTTCATGTAATGTAAACAATGTACAAGTGATACCTGTCGTGAATTTATTTTAATTGGAATTTTCTTTATACTTGGTCCTGTTATTGTCCATTATGCTGGCATGCTGGCAAAGTCCGAAACATTTGGATCCTCGCTTCGCCATACCACCATCGGTGCATTGTGGCTTTTGAATAGCGGCATTGCCCAGGACGGTTGCCTTTCTTTCCCTACCCGGGAGTTGCAAGTTTTGTATGAAATCCCGGTTTTCGGATTGGGATGATCAAAGAATCCATCAATATGATGAATCCATAATCCAAATTTTTTATGTTTCTTAAATCCTAGTTGTTTTCATGATTCGACCAGAAAATGCAAAAAAATTGTGCTAATTCTTCCGTAAATACCGTAAGAATTTTGAAACTAGAAAAACGAATCGTTCCTTTTTCTTTTTCCTGGATAATTTTATATTGAAGTGCCTACGGATATGTGATGCTCATAAATGTAGTGCTAGTCGCAACAAAGTAACAACAATTGTTCTTACAGTGCAAGAGTGTTAACTTGCAACTTGACAAGAGTATCTTCTCCGTATTTTGAGATGGATACTCTTTGATTCTTTGCTAATGAGTGAACCTTCATCTCCAATGACGATGAGGTTGGGTTTAGGTTGAGTAACTCCTAATTTAGAACATTTAAACATGCTGTGTATGCTCGAATCTGTGATAACACATGTTGGCTCTTTGTTTTTCTGGCTTGCTGTATGATTTCGTTGATAAAATTTTTTTGTCAGGACATGATTGCAACTGGTGGGATGGATTCAAATGCAGTGCTCTTTGACAGGTCATCCGGTCAGATCTTGTGCACTCTCACTGGCCACTCTAAGAAGGTTCTGTTTCAACCATTTTTATCTTATTTCTTTTTGTTTTCTTTATTCTTTTATCAGAAATCTGTGAAGAAAATTTCACAACACCGTGTTACATCCTTTTGTCTGTTCTATAATTTTACACTTGTCACGCTCAATATATGAAATACTGACATAATGTGCCACTACAACATAATAGCCGCTAGTGGTAACTTTTGCTCTATCCATTTCTCAGCCTACTTTCTGCAAGAGATTATATAATAGCCTTTTGCAGTAGGTTTTTTTTTTCCACCTCAAGTGAAAGTGTGGAAGGTGTTCCGCTTTTGTATTTAAACTTTTGATAGCGTATTCTATCTATGCTCCTTGAATATGTTCTTATTGCTAATCAATCTCCTTTGCTGTTGCAGGTGACAAGTGTTAAATTTGTGCCCCTTGATGATATGTTTGTCACTGGGTCAGCGGATAAGGTTCGTCACTATCTAATGCAATATCTATTCGTAGCTGCTGAGTGCTATTATTTCCTTATTTATGGAGGCAGCTATGCTATTAATTTTGGTGGATAAGTTGCTAGTAGTAGTTATTTTTCTAAGGCCTTTAACTTGGACAATTTTTAGATGGATCGGAATTTATTTATTTAGTTTTGCTCATCTTTGAAAAAAATGAGTTAAATGATTTTATTGTAGATCATAAGGAATTCTAAAAGACTGAAATCCCAATATCTTGTTATTGCGATTTCTATTTGATGGAGTCTTTAAAGTTTCGTGATTTATCTCTTCGAACTCAGTGATGTTAAATTCTGAAGGCAGTCTCAATATTGTTTATTTCTCTTCTTGTAAAATGAAAGGAGTACTATAACCTAGACATCTTTAATACTTGAACTTTGATGGTTATGATGAAATTTATCCTTTCAAAATAGAAGGTTTGAAAGACTGGCTTACTGCTGGTCATTTGTATTCCTCTCTAAAAGGAAGAGCAGGATGTTTGGAAACTAATCTATATTTCTTCTGTAAATAGTTAATGCTTTAGTTTTGTATGTTAATGAGAATCTGAGCAAGCATTTGTTTTAAATTCTCTCTGATGTGAAACTAAAAGCTAGTAACTGATGTTCTCTTGCAATTTTAATAAGTTGGCTTATTTGCTCCAATGCAGACAGTTCGTGTTTGGCAAGGAACTGATGATGGGAATTACAATTGTAGACATGTCTTAAAGGACCACACTGCAGAGGTAAGTTCAGTCATTGAATCTACATCAGTGGAAAAATTATCTGCTTTATATGTTTCCTTGCAAAACACATTCTTGTGGTGTGGGGGTTACATCTACAGTAAGCAGTTGGTTAAAGTTGTGTAAGATGAGCTTGGAAACCTTCTCAGGCCTATCAACCATTGTTAATTAAAAAGTCATGGTTATGATGACTGAACTTCTGATCCTTCTCTCTTCATTTTAAGCTAAAGTAACTTCAACTGATTAGGCATTTATCTCATCCTTGGCATCTGGGGGGACTTATTTAGCGTTTACAGTATCGGTAATAGCTCAGCATTGGTCCACTTGGTGCTGTTTCTTGTGTGCAGTATTTTTATTTTTACTGTCTTTTTTATGAGTGCCACGATTGTGCTTTGGCTGCTAATTCATCCTAATAGCTTTGTATTTTCTTTATGATGAACTGGCATCTGATACAGAAAGCATTTGCTTTACCTGATCTTGATCTTTGATTAGCAACAAAATTATGTCCTCTTCTCTTATGGATGGGTTGTATACTAAATAATTGTGGATGTAATTGATTATTTGATCCATAACTTCAGTATGACCAGGATGCTTGTGTTTATGAAGTTTGCTGCTCTCTTTATTCATTGGACAGTTTGGAATACGACGATCAATCATGGATGCTTATAAGCTGGAAGGAAACCAATTATAAATGCAAATATTAAATCATTGTTCATATACTTCTTACAAGAACAGAAGCAGGCTACTAATGGTTTTATGGTAGACATATTGTTCATGGCCTTCAACTTCATTTTTCTCTTATCCACTTTTAGCATTCTAGTATAATCAGTCGTGTTATACTTCGATTCAAACGTATTATTTTGTCCGTTGAAGTAAATATATGATGAATTTCTCAATTTGTTTGCACTTAATGCATTAATTGCTTACAATTATTAATTTACAAAACTCTGCTGTTCGACCAGGTCCAAGCAGTTACAGTCCATGCCACTAACAAATACTTCGTGACAGCTTCTATGGACAACACTTGGTGTTTCTATGATTTGGGTTCTGGATCATGCCTGACGCAGGTTTCTGACTCTCTGTATCTTTGTCACTTGTCTGCTTGTATGTGAATCGTTGCATGTGAACCTGTAAACACTGGATCTATATGTGTATGTATGAAGGTGGGCGAAGCTTCTGCAGAGGAGGGTTACACTTCCGCTGCCTTTCATCCAGATGGTCTTATCCTTGGAACTGGCACTTCTGGATCCCTAGTTAAAATTTGGGATGTGAAATCTCAGGTACGATTTTTTTCTTGCCACTTAGGCAAGAATATATTTTTTTAAATATATTTGATACTGACTCCCAACACTTATTTTCCCATGACTATCGTATTTCATGCCTCTACGATTATTGATGGATAATATGCACTTTTTGCAGTCAAATGTTGCCAAATTTGACGGACACTCTGGATCGGTCACGGCGATGTCATTTTCTGAAAATGGCTATTATCTCGCGGTAGGATATTAGCTTGAAACTAAAACATTAATGGGGAAATAGATGAGGCTTGTTCTGAAATCATTTATTTTCATTGATCAGACTGCAGCCCTCGATGGAGTTCGGCTTTGGGACCTTCGGAAACTGAAGAACTTCAGATCTTTTGCTCCTTATGACCCAGATACTCCGACGAACTCTGGTATGATGAATTATATCTTGCTTCAATTTTTCCTTAAAACTTGTGCGGCCTTCTAGTTTCATGAATTAAACCATGATTTATGCCTATTCATGTGGATAAGCCTTGGATGTTACCTTTTCAGGCATGTACATGCAACTATCTTTGATTATATTCATGCACTACTGCCTAGCAGAAACAAATACAATTCTTAAACGGTTGCATATTGTAAAATTTGCCCTATTTTTTGTACCTTGTAGTCTCAATTTTACAAGTTTCCTGTTTTCACAAATGCGTGTCTATATCTTTTTATTAAATTCAATGTGCTACTTTTTTTATAGAAAGATTCTCTATTTTTTTGTTGCAGTGGAATTTGACTTCAGTGGCAGCTATCTGGCTATTGCGGGTTCTGATATAAGGTATGCATGTTGCTTCTTTTCATTTCCTGGAGTTTGTCATGCAAATACTGTTGTGATCCTCAGATATTTCTGAGGGCAGAAAGTGGAAATGGTTCCTAAATGTATTCAAAAGGGGAAGGGGGTGGTGTTGGGGGCCTTTAGGATTGTTGAGTCTTTGTTTACTACTCAAGCCTTTAGGATTGTTGAGTCTTTGTTTACTACTCAAGCTCAATAGGTAAATTCTATTACGTTCGGCACATAATTCACCAACTTCATAGGTTTCTTACATTATATATTTACCCCTTAAAACAGTGAATTTATCCTTAGATTATGCTATTTTCCATTTTACCCGCCAAACTATTACAAACGCAATATACTCTCTTTTTGCCTTTTCGTTTTTTCAACCAAATTTCATTATAAAAACCCAGCAAAAGTCTCCTCTTATTCTTCGTCCAACCAAAATCTTTGAATTCGTCCAACCAAAATCTTCGCAAAATCCCTAACAAATTCTCCTCATCCTTGTCAGTTCCTCTTTCTCCTGCCAAAACTCTATCTAGATGACCAGACCATATCCCAATTATCATCTCTTTTTTTGCTATCATATTCTTCCCAAACGATACTGCTACAGTTAAATGAACCGATAACTCATCATATCTGTACTTGGATCCAACAATTCAGTCTCCTCATCCCTTCTTTCTGCTCTCAAAAATTTCGGACAGTTAAAACTAAATTTAAGCCAATCATTCAGAGCCCTAACCATCTTGATGCAGCTTTGGCATCCCTGAATTTTTACACTCCATGATGAAATGAGCCATGTGTATGAGACCCCTTGGAGCCTTGACATCACTTCTCCCTTCTGCAACGAATGTCACCAGATTGATGCCCTAATCCATAACACAGCCGTTGCTCTCCTTCTGTTTGAGATGTAGAATGTAAAAATTTGACCCCTTCGTCCTCTGCCAGCACTCAGCGGGATTACTTTATTTGTTTGCAGGGTATACCAAGTTGCCAATGTAAAGGCTGAATGGAATCTTCTCAAGACATTCCCAGATTTATCAGGAACAGGTAATATGCTCGAGTAAAACTTCAACCTTCCGCCAGTGATCTCTCTGGTATCGCTTGCTTCTTCAACGTCTAACTGCCTTCTATATCCAGGGAAAGTGACATCCGCAAAGTTTGGTGGAGATGCGAAATACTTGGCGGTAGGTTCCATGGACCGCAACCTGCGTATCTTCGGCCTTCCAGGGGACGAAATGGAAGAATCGAAATAACCAGTTAAGGAAATGGAAGGAACCGAGTAATCGACGAATATGAGATTGCCAAACGAACCAGGCCTCTTGTTCGAGCGGATCAGTGGACTCAGACCTGTAAATTATGAGCCTGCGTGCACCGTAGTTTTGATCATTCTGCATCTCTAAGCAGGATTCTGATTCTTGATACATGTCGTGAAGAATGAGTACTTAGCATGGAGAAGATATCCCACCTGTAGCAAAATTGTGCGGTTGAATTCATTTGTTGTTAAATGTTAATGAGAGCCACTCCAGGACACACACACAAACCAATTTATGCCTATGTAGGAGGGATATTTTTTTTAAGATACCTGTGTTCCTGTAACTTTTACAAAACTCTGTTTATTGATGGCAAGGTGTCTCCATGTGATGCTAATTATCAGACATAAACATTGTAATGTTGTGAGCCCCCCAAGTCGAGCCTGATTTAGTTTGAGTCGAACCCGTACCAGAATTGCCCGGGAAAAAAAATATTAATTTATTTATTGTTTTTGAGATATTGTGGGTATTTTATAATTTTTGCCGTATGCTCTGAAATCTATAAATGATATATTTCAGTCGCCTATTAGAGTAGTCTTTCGAAAAAAAGAAGAGAAAATACAGCTGGTGTAGAGAGAGGAGATTGCTATGAGGATTATTTGCGTTTTCAGTGTGTGGTTATTTAGTACATTTATTTATTTAGAAATCAAAAGAAGAAGAATTTGAATATAGATGTACAACGACAATAGGCAGCTGAGATTATAGTACATTTTTTTATGAAGGGTATTTTTCTTTGGTCATTTTGTGAACCGTCAGCCCACAGGCTTCAGGCCCGGCCCATTAATAACTCCACACGCTTGCTCCTTCGTGGCATTCTCGTAATTTTCAGTGATCTCTCGAGGACAAATACACGAAAGTCACTGTCCTATAAATTCGGCGCCCCATATTTTTCTAGGGTTTCTCCGTATCATCTCATCTCATCTCATCTGCCGCCAAAACCAAAAGGGGGGCGACCGAAGTAGAGCCCGAATCCGAAATGGTAATAATTCAGAAACCCTAACCCTAGCGTAACCCTAGCGCTCGGGTACTCGCCCTAATTCTTTGGATTTTGTTGCGTATTTTTTCTTTTTTTTTTTGAAAGGGAAAAGGAACGGGGAGTTTTGGAAAGAGGAGGAACAAGACTCACACGCTCTGCGTCCGCTGCGGTCGCCGGAGCTTTCACCTCCAGAAGAGCCGGTGCGGATCCTGCGGCTTCCCCGCTGCCCGAATCCGCAAGTGTAAGCTTTTTTTTTTCTGAATCCTATTGCTCATTAAAATTTTTATTTGTTAATGAGTTTACTATCCTATGATGCTTAATTTCACCCGTTGCTAGTACTGGAATCCCAACCTGTTCTTGTATGCCATCGATTTTAGCTCTGTGACCTATTTTATGTGGAATAAATGGAAAAAAAAAATTGATCCCGGTTTTAAGAATTATATGATTTGAAGTTTGTTCTGATATTATGGGCGTCCCTTTGTGTTCGGACCGCGTCCGTGCATTCGACTTAGTTTGGTGAACAACACACCTTCATATTGGTCATACTGATTGATTATGGAAAAATATCAAGAGTGAGAATCAGTACCAGATCCAACACTTAAAATGTCACCATACTCTCACCGAATGGGCTGCACACTTTGCAAATTTAGTTTCACCCGTCGCACATTTTTGCCTTTACTTGGGTTCTATTTTAACGAGAGCAAGAGCAACGATGACAGCGAAATATTTTATCCTGAACTTTTGGGGCTAACTACATGAATCCATTTTGGTCTTCTCTGCTTACCGCACCATTGTTAATTGCTTCCAACCAAGTTCTTTTAGGTCTATATGTAGTCCTCTTTGATCCCGTTAGCTATAATTTTATCACATTTGCATTTATTTAGCGGCATCCGTTTCACATGACTAAGCTAGCTCAGTTTATTCTTACTCCTTCTATCCTTAATAGAAGCAGCATTGATCCTAGTAATGTGCTCCTTCGTTGCCCAATCTCTTAGTGTTTGTCCACAAGGCTATATATCATTATTAGTTTCTGCTACAACAATATATTACCTTGGGTTACTTTATAATAATCCTCAAAAATATTGCCTTTGTCATATATAAGTAGATCTTTTGATTTCTGTCTTTACTTACATTTCTTTCATGCCTCATTTTTATGTTCCAAAATCATTATCTAAATCCTCTATAGTCAGTATTTTTCTAAATCCTCGTAGTAATTTTATTACTACTGCCTACATAAAAATGGAAAACTTGACTTGAAAATTTACTTGCTATTTATCTGTTGTACAGATGTGCCTCGTATATCTTTGAAACTTCCATTATTCTTAAACTTCATGAAGTATAGTTGGTTTGTTTTCACGTAGGGTAAATTGGTCCTTTCAGTGCGGATGCGTATTCTAGAAACCTATGTTTGATGCTGGGGGCATAGCTTCCCTAAGTAAAATGATCTTGATATTAAAAAGTAGTTCTATCCTTTAGGCTATGCTATATGTTGCTGGCAAGAAAATTTGTTCAGTCTAGAAGTAAAAGCTGTAAATAATACCACACAAAATAGCTTGTTGTCACTGAGTTTTTTTAACATGGTAGATCAATCATTCAATCCACAGACTAGTTTACATACATATGACATGGGCTGGTACTAATCATCGTCGTACTTTCCAAATATATTACTATTGTTTGTATTTGTGTCTGCTGAAAGCTATACTTTGTCAATCTATGCCATGGTTGGTTCCGCAAATTTATTCATTACATTCCACAGGCTTCCATCAAACAGACTCCTATAATATACTTGAATGTCATAGTACCTTAACCTTTTACTATGTTTCTGAAACAGATAATTGGAGTGTGAAGGCTATTAGGAGGAAGACAACAGGCACTGGAAGGATGAGGTATCTTCGTCATTTGCCTCGAAGGTTCAAGAGCAATTTCAGAGAAGGTAAACCAAAACTGTTTATGTGCATTTTCCCATGGAGGCACTGTAGTGCATAGCTTTTGGGTCATATGACCTAGTCTGGTAATTTTTTTTGGGTTTATCATCTTTTTAGATTCACATCTAACTTGTATTCTTTCAATTCAGGAACTCAAGCTACACCAAAGCAGAAGACTGCTGCTGCATCTGCTTCTTTTTAGTGTGGAGTGGGGACTATCTATAGGTTGTTTCTATCTATCCGCTGCGTCCTATCTAGGGTTTCATTTGATTGAGTTTGGACTCATCGCATTACTTTTTGTTAGTTCAAATTGCAACTTATGTATTTTGATGTTAAATATTTGGAGATCTGGACCGTTTTATTTTGATATCTGTGTTTTGCTTAGATCTGTTCGTACCGCTTTCCTTTCATGCTTCTTTGTTCGAAGGTTGCGAAGGATACTGAAAATATACCAGATTGTAAGCATCACGAAATTTCTAGATTTGTATTTGATTATCGGGGCATAACATCGAATTTTTATAATTTATATGTATCCGGCGGGCTTTACATCATAAAGATTTAGAATTTATATTGTACATGGGTATGCCTTTTAAGATGCCCTGGTTATATTCTCTCCAACGCCCTGTTTGATTCCTCAAGTTTCCTCTTCTCCGCAAGCTAACATTTTATTGCAGCATGAGCTCTCTCGGTGCGTGCAGGATCAATCCGTTTGAAAAACTGCAATTATTATTTGCACACTTTAGATAATGTCGTCCGTAGCATTTCAAACCTCTTAACCCCACGATCGCATATTTGAGCCCCCATGTTTAAATAACTTGATAAAGATGTTATTGATGGCTGAAAAAGTCCTTAGAAAAAGGATAGGAGAGCGGGGCGTGATTCTCACATGACATCTCAACCTAACGAAAGCGACAATGAAAGCAACGATGATATTGTCTAAAGTTTAAAAGGTACAAGTACTAAAAGAGATACTTTCTAACACAAATACAACTGAGCACCGCGGCAGTGCTCCGTTGACAATTAAAACTCGGTCTGCATTTTAGAAGATGTAAATGCTAATAAAATAGTTTAGATGTATAAGCGGTCACGTCATCATATATACGGCGGACGGCTTTATAGATAGATCCGAGAAATCTTCTTTCTCAACCTAACGAAAGCGACAATGATAGCAACAATGATATTGTCTAAAGTTTAAAAGGTACAAGTACTAACAGAGATACTTGCTAACGCAAGTACAACGGAGCACCACGGCAGTACTCCGTTGACAATTAAAGCTCGGTCTGCATTTTAGAAGATGTAAATGCTAATAAAATAGTTTAGATGTATAAGCGGTCACGCCATCATATATACGGCGGGCGGCTTTATAGAGAGATCCGAAAGAAATCTCCTTTCTCAAGAGAGAAAAAAACCGAAAAGTCGTGAGACTGGTCAAGATTGAAAACGCTTGACCAAGAATCCAAGATCCAGCGGGTTATTGCAAGGATCGATGTTCCTATTTCTTTTCTTGTTGAGTTCTCTTTCTTTCGTCATACAAATTTGCAAACCGCACGGTTTGACCGTTTAACACTACGGATCCTTAACCCGGTAATTTCTTTTTCTTTTTCTTTTTCTTTTCTTTCTTTTTCTTTTTCTTTTTCTTCTTATAGGACTCTTTCAACCATCCGTATTATCAAAGTATTCATAGATGGATTGCAGCAAGAATGCTCTAATCTGCGACTGTGGAGTTTAAATCTGAGTTTTTCAGGAGCGCGAAGCCCCCAAACTATGGAAGATATTTCCAAAAGTTTGCGAAGCCCCCAGATGATCTTAACAATGCATCTGGCGTTTGATACTGATGCTATCACATTTATTGTTGGATACAAATTTTATCAGAACATCGTCATACACGATGAGGAAGCATAGAGGAACAGTTTGCAAATTGATTCGGGGCATTGTGCTCGTATTCTCGTAAGGCTTGTCACGTTTATAGTTGAATACAAATTTTATCAGAACATCCTCTATTAGCATAGTCGGTAATGAACGTCTACTGTTTACGTTATATCCATACATGAAATGTTTTGACAAGATGTGTACTCCATTGATGTTTATCAGCAGAACTAATGTTATCTATTAGCGTATTAACCTTACATACGAAGATGATGATGCATTCCACTGATGCCTATTAGTATAGTCAGCGATATTATCAATCAATTTAGATGATTATGCTTGATGATATGTCAGATATCTTCCTCTCCTTACATGTATATAATCACCTAAACTCATCTCAAAAAACCAGAAGCCAAACAACAATGCCACCTCCGAAACCCAACCCCTTCATCATCCACGCGGGTCTAATAAAAACCGGGTCCAAAAACCCGGCCCATTACAACAACCTCATCACCCTCTACTCCAAATCCCCCTCCACCCTCCCCAGCTCCCTCCACCTCTTCAACAACCTCCCGTTCAAGCCCACTTCAGTCTCATGGACCTCCGTCATCTCGGCCCACTCGGCCCACTCCCCCTCATCCTCCCTCTCCCTCTTCCTCTCGATGCTCCGCTCTCAAACCCTCCCCAGTCAAGGAGCCGTCTCCTCCCTCCTCAAAACCTTCTCCTCCTCTTCCTCCTCTTCCTCTTCTTCCCTCTCATTTTGCCTCCAGATCCATTGCCTCTCTTTCAAGCTCCGCCTGTCTTGTTTACCCTTTGCAGGGTCAGCATTGATCAGGGTCTACGCAGACAACGGTCTTTCCGATAGTGCGGTTAAGGTGTTCGATGAAATTCGCGACCGAGATGAGGTCTGTTACGCCGCGTTCGTCGTCGGGCTTGCGCAGAACGGGAGGCCCGTTGACGCGATTCGGGTGTTTACGAGGATGAGACGCCGCGGGGTCCCGTCGACTGCGCACAGCGTGTCGGGCGCTCTGCGTGCT